CAAATGAGCAGTTAAATCTGCGTTCTCCGTGGACTTGTTTGAGAATTGGATTATGGCATACTCTATCTGCTCCCACTCTAGACATGCACACACATTCACACAAATGTCTAAAGCTATCCACAATCATGTGTAAAGTCCAGCAAATGTCCCGTTCTCTCTTGAGAGTATAAAAATAAAAGTGAAAGTCACTCGTTCTCTCACTACGATCAAATATGCTAATATCACTAGCATTATAGCTTTGAAGTTAGCTCACATTACATTGGCAAACTCTCTACAAAATGATCATTCTAAAAATAAAGATCAACACCAAAAATACTACTAACACTTAGTGTGTGCACACATGTACAAGCACTTGATGACTTCATCATCACCTTGAACATTAAAAAAACATGAAATAACACTGCTTATGCTGCAAAGTGAGAATTTCCATCAGACACAGCCTAAGTGCAAACATACTGCACCTTTTATTAATTAAAGCCTTGGCTTTGTGAGACTCATGTACATGCACGTTTCAACAACGGGTATCAGTCACTCAGTCGGTGAGTAAGTGAGACCAGCCACGCTTGTGGAGGACAGGTATGCTATGTCTCCAATGTTGGCAGAATGGCTGCATGGACCTCATCCAAGCACTAAGAGCTCTTATTTTCTGAGAGGCTCTGATTGTCTCCATCTATACTTTTGTGTGCATTTCAATCATCAAACCGATTGAAGGCAGCTGATCACTTTAATGCTCCTGCTGAAGTACCACAGCAGCTGCAGAGTTATGATAAACCACACAATTAAAAAAAGTGGTCAAATGTGATTCATTATATGAACTGTTTTATCAGAAGCCTTACTGTACACAGCAGAAGTATCACAGCGTGTGATAACAGAGAGCACAAGACTGCACCGCTCAGCAGGCCACAGCCCTTGGGACAGGCGAACTGACTGCAACACTGCACACTTGCGTGCACCGAGTAGGATTGGGTGTTTAAGCAGGATTAGGAAGATATGAACTATGTTGAGTTTTAATCTTCAAGATATCAAACATTTTCCCAAAATGATTAACATGCTGACTTTCAAAAGGATTTAGAAGAGTGTGTGTGTGTGTGTGTGTGTGTGTGAGTGAGAGAGAGAGAGAGAGAGAGAGAGAGAGATTTGTCAGAGTTAATGTTTCTCAGCTGGTGTGGAGCTTTATGAATAATAGAGCTGTTCTTCGGCCTCAGCCATGAAGCACTCTGTCTTTCTCCGACAGAGATCATTTTTTATTTATTTATTTAAAAAGAAACCCTTAGCACCTTCAGTATATGAGAGGCACTCTCTGAAAGACCCAGCAAATTCAGGCCAGCTCAAAAGTATAATCCATGCAGAGGTCCTTAATCCCACTGATTTACATTCATAATGGGTGTGGTATGGCACAGCAGTGGGAGCCCCAGGCTAACGCCAGCAAAAATACAGCTATTTGACACTGACTACTGAGAGCATGTTCACTGCTGTGCTGTTATGAAAGCCACTCGTACAGTACTGGGCAAAGGTCAGAGACCACCCTTCATTTATTTAATTTCATTTTTTAGCATCAGGGGAAAATACAGAACATTTAATCAGCAGAAAATGACACAAAAGCCTCAAAGACTACACTTTTGTTACTGCTTCCATTCTTTTCGGGAGACTCGCTTTCAGTTTTTTTCCAAGAAATCTGCTGGGATACTTTTCCACACCTCCAAAGTTCAGTCCTAGAGGTTGGTTTCATTTTCTGCTTTTCACAATCCAAGTACTTTCAATGATGTTGAGGTCTGGAGAAGGGAAAAGGAGCGGAGCAGATCTTCATGGGTGGTGTTATGGGCAGGACAATCAGTCCCCAGTTAAACATCACATTTAAGAGAAAGATAAAAAAATAGCATTTATTGCGCTTCTTTTCGGAGGAGAAAGACGAGGAGAAAAAGTCCTCCAGGTTTAATTCTTCCTAAACAGCCTATGTGAACATTAGCAATTAGCAACATTAGCAAGTGCCTTGAACACTACAACAAGCAAGCAAGCTACAGTGGTCAGGGGTACTCGACGTCCACTCCTTAAAGTTTTTTAACATCTGTGATCACAATGTAAAGGATGGTTTATATGCCAGTGAGTTAATATTTACCTTCGAGCTGAATATGCTTTAAATCGTAAATGCGAGCAAACATTTCCTCCTGTACAATCCCGTGTTCACTCTCTGGTTTACTTTTATTTGCCCTCTTTTTTGATTGGTTACCTTGTGAAAAGTGACACACGACCTCTCAATCCAAGAGGATCCACGTTGGAAAAACCAGCAAAAAATCGAAACAGTCCTCAGAGTTGTCGAGCGTTGGCACATGTCGCTGTGGAATGTCACCGCTGGTTCATGTAGCTTCATTAAAATGACTGATTCTAATTTTTGGATGCTGCCTGACGCAATGTGGCGCATCTGGTGTTCGGTGGCCTTTCACATAACAATAGCTGTGGTCACACCAGACTTGGAGCAATAATTAGGCAGTCATGCATCAGCAACAAGTGACATTACGTTGAATGAGGAGCAGTTTCTACGTTCTGTCATTTCAGAAATTAAAACACAGCAGCCTGCCCCCCTTGTTTTCTTTCAGCTCACGCTTCCAAGGTCCACTAATTCACCTAGATCAATCTCAATAGTGAAATTAGCTGCTACCGAAAGCAAATTTCTTTTTTGCAATCCTGCATCTTTTCCCTCTCAGAATGAATCCCTTTTTTTCGCCTGGGAAGTTTTGTTCAGTCTTACCACAGCTTATGAAATATGCAAAGGCACCAAATTCCAGCACCCTACTGAGTGACAGACTACAGACATTCTCACTCATCTTCTTTGCAATCTGACTGGTGATTAAAGCTGCACCATGTAAGATTTTTTGTTAAAATTTTAAAAAGTAGCGTTACTGAGTCAGGAGGAAAAAACGTGGTGGCTAAAACATGGTGAGCATGTGCTGTTATGAGTCGCCCTATAAAGCCTGAAACAATCATTTAAAATCTGAGGCGTCAGGCTGGATTTCGTGGGAGTTTTTTGGACCTCATCATGCGTCTTTATGTATTAACTTCACATACACAGGCTCAAAAAGAAGGTCCGATGTTTAAGTCTCAGCTGCAAAATCAACATTATACTAATAAAGATATGATGACAATAGTAGATAATTCACCTGCATCTTCGGAAGACACGTCCTTCACCAAGTTTTGTCTGAGTTCTCTTTGAATTCTCTTTCAGTCAGATTCATCCTCTTGGGGAAGGGTTCTGAAGCACAACCGATGCCACAAAATGTTCTTCCACACGTTGCATGCAATTACACATTTCCACCACAGAGGTCTCCAAATCCCCAAAATGACATAGTGTAGCTTTAAGTTTCCGTAGTGATTGATGTGTAATGAATTAAAAAGGTATGTAAACGTGCTCACTGAGGCTTTGGATATATCACATTAACGCTATACTCATTCATAGCATAAAATGTGGCAAAAATGCAAATTCTACAATTTCAATCGATACTATGTTACTGTAATTATTGTTGCAATTTGAATTTGATGAAAACCATCCCTAACATTTCTGTTTTTGTCATAGTTTGTCATTAAAACTAACAGAAAGAAAGAACAGACTCCTATGTGTTGATACTGAATGTAAACTGAAAGTATTTCCTTTCATAACTATGTAATCCATCTCATAATTATGTGTATATTACGTTTAAATTTGAGTATATTAAATTTAAATAGTAGATTTTGGCAAAATGTGAATAATTACTGTAGATTTCTAAGGGTTGTGGACCACGTACTGATCGCAAAACCATTCTGAAGGAGAAAATCTTTTCATAAAACAGACAGCTCAGTTTAATGAGGAATTCCATCATTCTATTTTTATTATTATTATTTTTTAATTCTGCCTAATTCCAGAATCCTATGTAAATTGGTGCATTGTATAGAAACGTTACTTTACAATGGTGGTGATGGGAACCAAGCGTCACAATGTTTACAAAAACATAACCATTTTGTTTTCCAGTGAACTTCTTACATATGTTGTAAGTTGATGATTAGTGGTAAATCTGAAAAAAATAAGGTTTTGGGGGACTATTTTGTCTTACAACAGCCTCGATGTACCTCTCTTAAAAATGCATTCATTTTAGGCCAAAAGCTGATAACAAAACTATCATAAAACAAAGTCTCAAGTGTCAAGCAACATGTTTGGGAGGTTTTTGAGAAACATTAAAAAACATTGATGTCTGGTTCCTATCACCACCCCCGATATCAAGTCTGACACGGTAGGTTTCTCTAGAAGGCTGCATTTCAAACCACTCTGAACGACTTTGTTTACACCTAACTGACATATACAGAAAGTTTGAAAAATTGTTGGAATTCCCTTTAATGTGCCATCAATCCTCGCTGTTCATTATCATTCACCACAGACTTGTACAACATCTGGACCATCCAATGCAATGAATAACCCGAGCAGGACTCTGTGCTCTGTCCTAATGTGAGTGAACAGGGCGGGGTTCAGGTTGTTTTTCATGTTTTCTGCCACATTAGCTGTCCTTAGGGGGCACACCGAGTCAAGAGAGCGGGGGTTTAGCATGCACGCTGCATCCATTCGTCTTCTGTAAATGTTGCACCCTTTTTGCTCTCAGACTGTGGCATGCTAGGCACCTCTGCTGTGCTATAAAAACCCCAGTCAGGTGTAATATTAACGCGCCGCTAATAAACAGTGAGATCGCAACGGGAAAAGACTACCGAGCGGATAAGGACAAAGCCTTTACGAGCGTGCTCCTGTTTCACCTCAGCTCCACTCCAGACTCACTAAGCCCATTCAGTCAGCTAGCATCAATCCCACTGCAGAGGCTTTGGGACAACTCCCAAGCAGAAGGGAGTACATTCACCAGCCTGAAACCAAGCTACACACGCACGACACCACACAGCATGGGCAGACAGTCATGCCAAGGACAGGCACAAAGAAAATCCGACCAGCTAGAAAGCTTCTCCAGTGAGCCAGGGAGTTTGCATCTTACCGTCCAGTCCGAAGCAGGAGGTGATTTTCTGGGCATAGTTGCACAGGCCGTCGTATTGAGGCTGCTGCGCTGCACTCCTTTCCCCCATCTCTGCTGACACCCACCCTCACTCGCTCTCACACGCTCACAGGACGGCCCTGCCAGGTCATTCCAAGGATCCGCGCTCATCAATAATGCAGCCGCATGCACTGTTTCTTGCACATGCATGCGTGCACTTTGAAAAAGTGCTGAGGCGGAGGGTCCTTGCCGTCCGCGTGTGAGCTCTAGTGCCCGAAACTGGGAGGAGGAGACAGACTTAGTTTACCGCAGCAATGGTAAAGACAAGAGAGTGAAGATGCAGCAGTCTTACAGGTAGAGTCCGGCAGCCCTTTACAGGAGGAGGGCGGGGCCTTTACAGGAAACACAGTGCTAATGCTACACTATTGACCCACCTTCACAGACACACAGTGTGAAATATGGGAAATGGATGTAAGCATTAGTGACTCCTGAAGGAACCTGACTCTGTCTGACTGGCACAAAAGCCACCACAGTCTTGTTTAAAGAACCTCTAATGGTAAGTGGTGGTAATCCTACCTCGTGGTCAATACCTATATGGATCATTCTACTGAAATAGTTTAAACTGGTCCCCCAAAAACAATAAATAAATACAACCCCAATTACAAAAAAGTTGGGATGCTGTGTAAAATGTAAATAAATATAAATAAAAACAGAATGCAATGATTTGCAAATCTCATAGACCTATATTTTATTCACAGTAGAACATAGAACACGTATCAGATGTTGAAAGTGAGACATTTTACCATTTCATGAAAAATATTAACTCATTTAGAACTTGATGGCAGCAACGCATCTCAAAAAAGTTGGGACAGCGCCGTGTCTACCATTGTGTAGCATCCCCTCTTCTTTTAACAACAGGCCAGTTCAGCACCCGGACTCTTCTTCTGCGAAGCCATGCTGTTGTGATGGATTCAGTATGTGGTTTAGCATTGTCTTGCTGAAATATTTAAGGCCTTCCCTGAAAAAGACGTTCTCTGGACGAGAGCATATGTTGTTCTAAAACATCTATATACTGTTCAGCATTGATAGAGCCTTTCCAGATGTGTAAGCTGCCCACGTCATAGGCACCAATGCAACCTCATACCATCAGAGATGAAGGTCCCTCTCCTCTTGAGTCTGCAGGACACGGCATCCGTGGTTTATAAAAAGAATTTCAAGTTTTGATTCATCTGACCACAGAACAGTTTTCCAATTCACCTCAGTCGGTTTTAAATGAGCTTTGGCCCACAGAAGACGGCAGCGTTTCTGGATCGTGTTGACATATGTCTTCTTCTTTGCATGATACAGCTTTAACTTGCATTTGTGGATTGCACGGCGAACTGTGTTCACAGACAATGATTTCTGGAAGTGTTCCTGAGCCCATGCAGTGATTTCCAGTACAGAATCATGCCTGTTTTTAATGCAATGTCGCTTGAGGGCCCGAAGATCATGAGCATCCAATACTGACCATCGGCCTTGTCCCTTGTGTCAGGGATTTCTCCAGATTCTCTGAATCTTTTGATGATATTATGTACTGTAGATGGTGGGATATCCAAAGTCTTTGCAATTTTACGTGAGGAAAATTTTTCTGAAATTGTTCCACAATTTTTCTACGCAGTTTATTGCAGATTGGTGACCCTCTCCCCACCTTTGCTTCTTTACTTTTTTGAGCTGCGTTTTTGCCATCAAGTTCTAAATACGTTAATAATCCGGGTGCTGAACTGGCCTGTTGTTAAAAGAAGAGGGGATGCTACACAATGGTAGACACGGCGCTGTCCCAACTTTTTTGAGATGCGTTGCTGCCATCAAGTTCTAAATGAGTTAATATTTTTCATGAAATGGTAAAATGTCTCACTTTCAACATCTGATACGTGTTCTATGTTCTACTGTGAATAAAATATGGGTCTATGAGATTTGCAAATCATTGCATTCTGTTTTTATTTACATTTTACATATTTAATTGGGGTTGTAAATAAAAAGGCATGAACAAAGTATTCAGACATTAGATATATTACTATTTAAAACCAAGAAATAAACTGAGACAGTAATAAGATAAATATTTACAAAACCATCATTTACAGGTTACTTTCTATTGGTGCTGGCATTTCCAAACCCTAACCACTAAATTTACACCTGTGAAAATAATTCCTAAACTTGTTCAATATTTTTATACTTTTTAAATGTTTTTTTAAGATCTCTCTAATTTTCTAATTTCTAATTTATTTATAAGGTGAGGTTGAAAGATAAACATAAGTTTGACGCAACCAGACTGGTCAGACACGTGGTTAAAATAGACTCCAATAGACTTTCAAAAGAGACAGAGTCGAAAAACAGGCCAGGTCAAAACCAGAAACATCCAAATGAACATAACAGAGATAATTCAAGCAAACAAATGAAAAGGCTAAAGACAAAATGGTAAAGTCTAAAAATACAGGAAACCGGTGCAGCACACAGTATAACAAAATCAAGAAATAACACTCTATTTAAAGTCCCTAAACAGGTCATAATAATCAGACACAGGTGCTACACATCAATACTATAGCAAGGAAGTACAGTGACTGGTTGGTGCTGGTGGTGAGACTTTCACCTGTCCTGGGGGAGGCATGTGATCTCCCAGGGGGTTCTGGGAAGTCCTTAACGAAAGCAAGGTCTGAGGGATGCGTGACAATGAGTATAATTTTTAAATAAAAAACTTCATGTCGCTACCGAAACACAAAGAGTTTTAGAGCTTATTTTAGCCACACCCCTACATTTTACAGCAGGAAGTGAGGCTGCATCCCTGTCCCTCATGGCCACATGGTGAGCAGTTAAATCCTATTGTTTTGACGGAAATGCGTGCCAAAGTCTGTAAATCAGTATGGAACATTAGAACTGTCACTACCAAAACACATTTTCAGCAATTAAGTAAACTTTTTTGTGTTTTAATAAAAATTATTATAATTTTATGTGTCTACAACTGTTCAAAGCTGCGTTTGATAGTCATGTACTGGCTAGCATTTTTGAGTTTTACTTAAAAAATAGCTAAAATTGTCACTACCGAAACAGCCACTCCAGAAACATTTGGCTAAGTTTCAGTAGTGTTATGATTGTTGTGTTAAATATAAACATCATTAAGGTATAGAGTGGGGGCTGGAGAGCTCCTAATAAGCTAGCTAATACTTAGCTAATAATTTTAGCTTAAGTACTAAATGCTAATAAATAAGTAAAACCTACTAAAATACTAAATAAAAAACACTTGGCCTCTCAGTGCTCCAACTCACAGTACATCTTCCCTCTGCAGAAACAAATCTGACTAAATGAATAAAGGAAACTCAATAAAATGGAAGGTCAAAGTAAGAGGTTTTGTTATTACAAACAGGTTCTGGTCAGCAGTTTTATAGCTTTGCTCATGGCTTTTATGGCTTTGATCATCTGGAACACTTTACAGCACACACAAAACGGTAATATCAAGCAACTCTGGCAAAAGGCTATGCAATTAATAACGTGCCCTAGAGCAGGGTTTCTCAAACTGTGCTCCTCGGACCACCAGTGAGCCGTGAAGCACCCTCTGACTGTACACAGGGGGAGGCAGCAGTTCATAGTGGGCCAGTAACATCACTTTGTCATAAAAACATAAGTGGAAAAAAGTTTAACTTAATAACTAAAAATCTAAGAATCAAATTATAACCGTTATAATATTAATAGAGACGTACAAATACGCAGATATCAAGTAAGATCGATTATTGTTGCTGACTGTGACAGCACTAATCCAAAAGCCCAGTTGAGCGGAGTGTGGTTAGTGTTCAGATGAGGCACTAAAACCCTCAAAACTAAAGAGATCAAATGATTCCTCCTTTGGGGAAAGCCAGTGGAGTATTTTCAGTGAAAATATGATGGACTGCAGCTCCAGATATTAGTCCACATCTATATTTCTATTCTTTTTTTCTTTTCTTTTTTAATATCACTACAGCCATATGTTTTTTAAACAGTGTTTTTTTAACATAACCGCAAATATTGCAACTCTACTGACAACCACAATAGATGATCTGATCTTTTCAGGCCTTAATTCTCAGGTTTTCAGTGTTAGCACTGAAGAAAAGGTTGGGAACCCCTGCCCCACAGCGTCAACAGAACGTTCTTTATGCTTTTAGTTTTTTGTTTTTTTTCCAGCAGAAGCCGAACAGTCTGATAGCAGCCACGACACTTCCTTTCAGAAGGTGAGTAAGTGCTGATAATCACGGCCCTCATGCTCTTCTCAGGTTGTCAATTCTGCACCACTAGACATCGATTTGTGATCCACAAATGTGCCCTCAAACTGCCCTCCGGAAATAAACAACTGTCTCTGTTTCGACTGCAGTCCTCTCTGGCTCCCTGCATTTGCTTTACATCTCTACCATCAGCACCTTGTCCGTCTCAGTCCAGCAGCCAGACGGTTACAGGACTGCATCATCTGAGCAGTTGTGTGGTGTGACAGACCTCAGGCTTAGATCTAAGTGATTAGATCAAGGTGATTAAGCCTGCAGATCCAGGGGTGGGGAACGGGGGCTGGAGTTGATAAGTTTCTCTACAATGAACCATTTAACTTCACAAAATACTCTCAATGACTTTGTTTACATCCCATTGATTGAATTATTATTATTATTATTATTATTGTTATGTGGTTTTGTGAAACTGAGCCTTATGAATGATTTCAAATTCTGTGAAAGACAAAATCACAAGTGCCAAATGTGACAAATTAGCCATTGCAGCTTCTACGAAAGTGTCCATCTGCACCCTGAAGAAGGCGTTGCTGCTGCTACTGTGCTGTGGCCTGTATGCCCATCACTATATGGATCAGTTGTTTTTCTTTTGAGAGTTTCTATGCAGAAAATAAAGCAGGTTGTGACTTTTGGACATTAGAGTGCTTTGTTTTTTCTGGTTCAACCACTGCATTACTCTGTAGCAAAGAGCACCTTCACTATTTATTACATTTGGTGGTAATGCTTTGTTTTACAGTCTCTTAAGTCCTAGATATTAACCAGGTAAGTGTGAGGTACAGAGTCCATGGTCCTTGGTAATTAGTTTGGGCAACATAATAGTGAGTTCCAAAACAGTCTGGCCACTAAAATGCCCAACAGGTTCTAGATATTAACTGGATAAGCATGTGGTACAAACTCCACAGCACTGTGTAATTATTCTGGGTAAAAAAGTCTCGGCTAGTTATATAGCGTAAAAAGACTGTATACAAATAAAGTACAGGGCAATTGTATCTACTTGTTTATTACCTATAAAGGATTCTGAATCAGGGCTGTAAAAGAAGGCAATAAGT